AGACTGATTGGTCATGGGGTCCTGTATTGAGCCTTGGGGCACAACAGTACACAGAGGTTTAAGACTAGAATATTCGGCAGCGACCCTTACACGCTGAGTCCTACCTTCTAGATAGCTCATCAGTCGTACAGCAGACTCCCCGAAGCCAAATTTATTACTTAATTTGATGCAAAGTAGTCTATGGTTCATCGAGTCGAAGACTTTAGAGAAGTCTAGCAAGCATACAAAGTTAATTGGTTATTGTCATAAGGAATTCGTATATCGTCCAGAATTTTAATAACTGCAACCCATACTGGAACGGGGAGAGTAAATTAAATTTGTTAACATGCAAGTTAATTTGCTCGGTCATCAGCTTCCTCGCAGACTTTAGACAGACAAGGAAGAACACTTATAGGCCGAAAATCAGAAGTACTACTCGCAGACTTATTTTTAGCAACCGGAATAACGGTGGCGAGCTTCCATGCATCGGGGAAAGAGACGAGGTTGTAACACAATGATTGATAACATGAGTAATAGTAGGCAAGATTTGTGGCATAATTAGCTTTACAAATTTTGTTGGTATCCCATCTGCGCCTATCGCATTGGACCGTATCGTAATAAATGCACCTTGCCACATCAAACTCTGACACCGCAACATTTTTATTCATTCAGAAAGCTCAACTTTTAATTTACAGAGCTTAGGCTCCAACAACCACTCCAATCAATGCGGAATAAGTCGTCAGATAGACTATCAATATTTATCATACGATAGTCAGGATAGTTATGTGGACTAGCTGCTACATTATGATCAAAATTGATGTCAAATGTACAGGAAATTTGATTGTGATCAGAAATAAACGACATCTGGTCAAATTTTAACACAGTAGACCGATCAGAAACAATGAAGTAATCAAGCAGACTAGGACAACAGTTATTTCCGTATCTTGTAGGTATACACAGATTTACAATGGATAGACCAACAGTACACCTTTTCAAGTTTATAATGAGAAAATGTAAATTCATATTGAGAAATCCCAAATTGATAATGAGAAGCGTAAATTCATATTGAGAAAGAACAACTTTATAATGAGAAATGTAAATTTATATTGAGAATATGTAAGTTGGTAATGAGAAATATAAAATCATAATGAGAAAATAAAAATTGATAATGGGAAATATAAATTCATATTGAGAATATATAAATTGATAATGAATGTAAGTTCATAATGAGAATATATAAATTGATAATGAGAAAACGTAAATTCGTAATGAGAAAATGTAAACTGATAATGAGAACATAAAAAATTATATCACTGAAGAGCTACAAGTACATTACTCTGGAGTCTGCGAGCTAATGTCGCGATATTAGGTGAATTAAAGCAAGCATCAAGGGAGACTGCCAAAAAAATTTATAATATATACAACCCGAAATTACAGTTGGACAACGCATTTACACCCCCGCTGTGTGTGAGCGCCCCCGTTTGCCTTTTTATGTGTAACACTTCAGCTGTGGTTATTGCATTAATAAAGTGGA